CAACTCAAGGGGTACATGTACTGTAAGGATGGAAGGAAGACTGAAGGGATGACCCCATCTGTCCAGTCTGCGTTGGCCTTGAAGCCAGGCTGACCCTCCTGCCCTCCGACCGCCGAAGCCTGGGTGGGCGCATCCCACAAAAACAAGGAGCCAACGCCCACCTGTTACTCTGGGTGGTTGTTCAGGAACATCTCAGCTTTCCACATCTCAAAATGTCTTTATTATTTTTGGTCCTTTGCTTTTTCTTGTGAATTTCATAATCATGTTGTCAAGTTTTATGAAAAACTCTGTCGGATTTTTGATTGGAATTGCATTGAATTTTTATATTCATTTAAGGAGAATTGACATCTATATAGCGTTGTCTTCCCATGCGTGAATATGAATATCTCTCTATTCATTTATGTCCCTCAGAAAGTTGTCTCATGTTCTCCATATGGCATGGCAGACTCTGCTGTCTCCCTATTTTTAGTGGAAACTTATTTTTTAAATTAAAATTTTCAGTTGTTCCAGTGGCTATTGTTTGTATATAGCATTTAGTAAATTATATTTCTTCTATTGATTATTACTACCAATATAAAAGTACCACAAACTTTTTATTTGGATCTTAAACCTAGCAATCTTAGTGAGTTCTGTTATTAATTCTTATAGTTTACAGATTTTCCTGAAATTTCTATGTCGGTAGTCATATTATCTGCTGGAAATGCACACAGGGGCAGCCAGAAATGAAAGGGGTCACAGAACACAGCAAATACACCTGGGAACAGAGCCTCTTTTTGAAAAAATGGTGGTTTTGTCAAACTGTAAGAAGATTCACAAAGATCCTCAGATAGTTCATAAAAATTTGTTTGCAAGCCCAAGGGGCTGTGGGACAGCTTGGGTGAGGCCACTGAGAACAGGGCTGTCCAGCCAGGCCTCGGGGTGGGATCTGGTGCCCACGGCACAGCACAAGCTGGTTCCTCAGCATGTAGTGGGGGCAGGGCAGGGCAGAGACAGAGCCGCTCAGGTGGCAGTTGATCTGACTTTGTCCTATTTGACCTTTCAACAACCTAGACGAAGACACAGAATGCTCGTTTGATCTCTACCAGGGCTGGACGGACAGTCCCAGCGAGGTCTGCATTCTGGATGCACAGCAAACCCGCCCTCCCAGCAGCTGAGCCCAGTCAAGGATACCAGGGCACACCCACCTGACACCGGTCACACCGCACCTGCTCTCAGTTGTGAGGCCATTTTTTATAGGCCACTTACAGCCTGGAGCAGGTCATGGAGAGATGAAGAGGCCAGGACCAGGGGGCCTGGTTGAGGGGGCTCCCTGGGAAGGGTGAGGCCCAGGCATGGCCAGGTGAAGAGCCTGGGGACACCAGCAAGGTCACAGGGATGAGAGCAAGCTCCCAGAGATGGGGTCCTCGTAAGGGGGTGAAGTGGACCCAAGTTAACCCAGTGGCCCCTGAAGTGTCAAGGCCACCCTCGGGAAGTCCAGGATGGAGTGGAGGGCCCCCTTATCGGGGTGGGAAGTCTGGCTCCTCACCCCAGGACTGTTGAGAGAAACCGCAGCCAGATCTCTCAGAAAGATGAGTAAACTTGGATCAGAAGTGGCCTTTCCAGACCTCAGGAGGGCCTGGGCTGGGGCTGTCCTGAGCTCAGAAGTTCACTGCCTTCCCTGGGAAGGAGAGAAGAGTTCACTGCTTTCCTGCTGAGAGGAGACGTTCCAGAGACCTGCTGCTGGGGAACCACTGACCTGCAACAGCAGCTGTGCTGGCCCACGGGGACCGCCAGGGCAGAGCGCAGCCTTTGCCTGCCCAGCAGGTCAGTCAGGGATGCCCCTTCTCTGCAGGGGGCCCTTGGGAGGGCCACAGGCCATGTGGGGTAGGGGTGCACACACCAGAAACCTGCCATCTCCCTGCTTCCCCACCCCTCACCATGGTCCAATCCTATGGGCTGTGCTCCTGGACACACAGTGTCCCCTTCTGGTCCCAAGTAGCCTCTCAGTGGGGGCTTTGAAAGTGTTCTTCCGGGCCGGCCCGGTGGTGCACTGGAGAGTGCGCCGCTTGGGAGTGCAGTGGCACTCCCGCTGAGGGTTCGGATCCCATGTGGAGACCGGTTCCCGCTCACTGGCTGAGCGCGGTGCAGGCGCAACACTGAGGGTTGCGATCCCGTTAC